CCCACACCTCGCTCAGCCAGTGAGCGGGAACCGGTCTGTATGTGGGATCCGAACCCTCGGTGGGAGCGCCACCACACTCTCAAGCGGCGCACTGTAGCAGTGCGCCACCAGGCCAGGCCCAAAATATGTAATTCTTAAGTAGCCTTTTCTCCCATAACCCCAACTAGTCCTTAATTCGTGAGGTTTCACTAACTCAAAATATGTATTGTATTGTCTTTCATCTCAATTTTGCTGTGAAGCCCCAAAATATGTAATTCTTAAGTGGCCTTTTCTCCCATAACCCCAACTAGTCCTTAACTCGTGAGGTTTCACTAACTCAAAATATGTATTGTATTGTCTTTCATCTCAATTTTGCTGTGAATAGTCGAATATAGCATAGTAGAGTTCAATACTGATTAAAACCATGTCAAAGATAAAAGCTAGAATAAACAGGGATTGTTCTCCAGCATATGCATTTTTTCGGCACTACTGGACAAATCAGCATGTACTTCTGCACCCAATACTGTTTTTGCAGATTGCTGCTGTTTACATATATGTATGTCTTTTGAAGCCAGATATTTTTTTTTTTTTTTTGTCCTTTTTGAGACCAGCCGCACGCGCTCAGCCAGTGAGCGCTGTGAGCGCACCGGTCATCCATATATGGGATCCGAACCTGCGTCGGGCGTGCCGCTGCGCTCCCAGCACCGCACTTTCCCTAGTGCGTCACAGGCTCGGCCCCAGATATATTTTTTTGATAAGGATTCAGTGTTTTAGCTTCAATTAGTCTCTAAAAGAAAGAATACTAACTGCTTGTAGGAATACCGTTGCTTAAAACTCAAAAGTGTTCTATAATCAATTATTTCTATTTTTTTCAAGTAGCTTCTTTTTGCACTAGGAATAAAACATTTGTTTACATGCGTTGTTTTTATTTGGAAAAAGAGATAGCATATTTTGGTATTTGAGAATCGATTGACCATTTTAGTAAATTTACTGGGATGGATGCATTTCTTCTGCAGATTCCTACAGGAATGTAGTGCTGTGTTTTAACCCATTTGTTTTAAACGTTTAGCTTTTGCAGGAAGTAGTGGTAAGCAAAAGGAAGTTTAGTAGTGCATCATATGACCAATGATTGGGAGAACTCAATTTATTTAGTGTAAGAGGAAAAGTCTTAAAAGTGATTTCAACAGTTACTTTCAAGTATTTGCAGTATATGTAAATAAAGGTTTAATCTTAATCTCTTTTTTTACCTCAGAGGTTAGTGCTACTGCCAATGGATAAAAGTTGGAGGAAGGTAGATTTCAGTATAATATAATGAGGAATTCTATATATTATTGGGATTGTTCAGCAAAAGAGCAGGAAGCTTCTTTAAGAGGCTGAGCTCACTATGTCAGTAAGTCTCAATAATAAGTCCATATAACCATGCCACTCAGGGATGTTTGTGAAGAAGTGTCTGAGAAATGTTGAATTCTATCTCTTAAGTCAAATACATTGTTTAATTCTAATCTTCGAATGAGCTTATTGGATGAGCATATTTTAATACCACCACTTTAAAATTGAGGTGTTCAGTTGTCTACTTGAGGAAGCAGATTTAAAATAAACTTGATGGAGAAGTTTTATAGCAAATATTTCAGAGTTGTGTAGTATACATGCCAGGTATATGGTAGAGATATATGACATAGATTCCCACACTAAGTGGATGAGATCTAGCCTTTGTCTTTATTAGTACAGTTATGTAGGTCAAATACTAAAAAGTGATATTTACATTTATATCTGTAACTGGAAGATTTAAGCAATACATTTTTCCTTGGACCCCACTTGGACATGGTATATTATCCTTTTTATATATTCCTAACTTAATTTTTAATATTTTGTTAAAGATATCAAAGATTAACAAATACTTTAACAAATTAACATGCATTAATGAGGAATATTGGTCTGTAGTTTTTGTTCCTTGCAATGTCTTTGGTTTTTGGTATCAGTTTGATACTGACCTTATGAAGTGAATTCAGAACTATTCCCTCTTTCATTGAGCAGTACATTTTTTTTTTTACATTTTTAATTGACACATAATAATTGTACACACTTATGGAGTACTGTGTGATACTTCAATAATGTATACAGTGTGCGGTGATCAAGTCAGTTTAATTAACATATCCATCGCCTCTAATATTTATCATTTCTTCGTGTTGTGAGCATTCAAAGTCCTCTAGTCTGGCTAATTGAAACTATATAATAAATTGTTGTTGATTATAGTCACCCTATAGAGCTATAGAACAGGAGATCTTATTCCTCCTATCTTGCTGTAATTTTGTATCCATTAATTACCCTCTCTCTATCTCTCTTTCTCCCTCCCCTTCCAAGCTTCTGGTAACCACTCTTCTACTCTCTACTTCTATGTGATCAACTTTCTTAGCTTCTATATATGAGTGAGGACATATGGTATTTCTCTTTCTGTGCCGGGCTTATTTCACTTAACATAATGTTCTCCATGCTCATCCATGTTGCTGAGTATGACAGGGTTTTCATTCCTTTGTGTATATATACCACATTTTCTCTATCTATTCATCTGTTGGTAGACACTTGGGCTGATTCCATATTGTGGAATCAGTGCTGCATAAACACGGGAGTACAAATATCTCTTCAATATACTGATTTCCTTTCCTTTAGATATACACCCAGTAGTGGGATTGGGTAATTCTATTTTTAGTTTTTTGAGGAACCTCTATACTGTTTTCCATAATGGCTATACTAATTTACATTTCCACAGCAGTGTATAAGAATTCCCCTTTCTCCATGTCTTTGCCAGCATTTATTTTCTGTCTTTTTGATAATAGCCATTCCAACTGGAGTGAAGTGGTATCTCATTGTGGTTTTGATTTGCATTTCCCTGATGGTTATTGATGTTGAGTATTTTTTCATATACCTGTTGGCCATTTGTATGTCTTTTAAAAAATTTCTATTCAGCTTGTTTACCTATTAGTTAATTGGATTATTTGGGGGTTTTTTGTTTTTGTTTTTGCTGTTGAGTTGTTTGAGTTCTTTGTATGTTCTGGATATTAATTCCTTGTCAGATGAATAGTTTGCAAATATTTTCTCCCATTCTAATCTTCCACTACAGTAAACCCATGGCACTGAAAAGGAGTATAACAGTTCCCAAACCCACAAATATCAGTTCTTTCTTAGATCTCTTCACTTTTATCACCAGTCAAGTAAATGGCTTGCTTTTCCAGGAACTTTTTTTTTTTTTTTCTTCCTTTTTGTCTTTTTTACTGACCGGTAACGGGATCACAACCC